TAAGTATTATTTTTAATTATTTTAAGGCCTATTAAATTGAGTTAACCCTGGATCTTCAAATTTACAATTTGGGTGTAAACACATATTAATAGTCTTTTTATATAAATATGTTTTTTATATTTATATTGATCATTAAAAGATTACATGTCTACTAAGTTTTAAAGTTTGTTTATTTTTTTATTTAGTTGAAATGATGTAAAATATCAAAAGCAAGTGGTGTGAAGTTGTAAAATTTATACATCCTATTTATAATTTTTTTTTAAAGTGAGAGGGTGCATTTGCTCACCCTTGCTACAATAGATTGATGCCTCTGGGCCTATTTTGATTTTTGAGGTAACCTTGTAGGGAGAATTGTGTTGAAATTCTAGATAAGAAAATTAATTATAGCCTTATGTCAAATAATTTATTATTTTGCTGCGACTTGTATGTAATTTTTCCGAACTTGTATTTCAAAATTAGAAAAGGTCGAGCCCGTAAAAGACCTCTCTATTAGAGCATGACCATGACCATTCCAGGTGTTAAATCAAAGGTCGATGGCCTCCTCTTCTTTTTCTTTTTGAATATATGTGTGTGTGTGTGTGTGATCAGGAAAACTGACGTGGCGGAAAAAAAATTTGATCAGTAAATAATGCTCTTGTATTTATAAAGACTTTTTAGGCTCCAAATCATGCATGCATTTACTTTCTCGTTTAATTAATATGTATCTTTTGTAACTCCTCGATCCCTCCTGCTTAATTTCCTTGCGTTATTGATAATTATATTTGACCTTGCTCGCCATGCATTTTGATCAATAACTTCACATGAATTGAAAATTACGCGTGCATACTGTATACTTCATTTCATTCCCGGGTTCTCCAGCCACCTACTTCTATCTCTGACTCACGTGGGCGGCACGTTTCAAGGACACTCGTATTATTATCTGGTGCCATACAAGGCTAAAAGCATTGTACTGCTTGGGAGTAAAAAATGTCATGGTTAAATATTTTACAAAATTACTCAATTACTTAACCAGATATATAGTGCTCACAAAATATTGATTCTGTAAAGCTGGTTTCAACTTGTTGAACGGGAACAGTTTTAATTTTCAGAAAAGAATTATTAGAATAAATATATTCAGACTAGCTGCACGTGTTCTATTTTAAATCAAGTTTTCATTCTCATCATTGATCTTCCCATGATTATGTTAAATATGCATAATTAAAGTGATCCCTTCAGGTGGGAAAATCTTACGTCGTTGAGTATGAAGGTTTTTTTTGGCACTATACAGGCTAAAAGTCTAAAGCTCCATTGTTTTGTAGATAAAGAAAAACCATTATTTTAGTCTGCCATATCTGCAGCTTTTCTTTTTTTGTTTTAAAAAATAGCCTCTCATAAAAGTATATCCTCAATTTCGTTCCTAACATTAAATCATTTGTTAACAGAAGAATTATATTTAAAACCATTTAAAAAAATTATTCACAAGATAAAAATTAATATGAATGAATTATTAGAAAATAAAAATGTAATTTTTTAAATGAAATGTATTATTAATTGTTATATGTAAATAATTTATTTGAGTAATCTTTTTGAATGTAATTTTTTTTTTACAATTTGGTTTTTCCGTAGAATTGTCTTTTTAATTTAATTTGAATCTTCGATGAATTCCCAATTTGAGGCCAGCTCTTCACCTACGCGCACAAACACACACAGTAATATTGTTTTACCAATATAGTATAAATTGATGTATTGATAGTGAAATAATCACATTACATCATTTTAACGTGTACTTGTCAGCTTTTATTTTTTTCTTCTTTATTTTTGGGAGGGAGATGGGGCTGTCACACATGCATGTCAGCTTTTTTTTTTTAGGAGATTGCTATGATAATTGCCACGTTGTTTGACGGGCCAGACTTACCCAAGAGCGCGCGAGTCGCGAGGCGTGAAATCGAGAATGCAATTTTCAATAAAAGTCTTCATTAAAACGGCTTTATTTACGAGGGACAAATATAATAAAATAGATTTATAAAAGATTACTTACAAGAGACTAAAATATTCCACATAAATTTACATGCATAAAATAATATATTTGCGAATAATCAAAGTTATTTGCAAAAATGATAGGAAAAAAAGAGAGTAAACAATGCATATTAATATCTAATTTACGTATGTGGGTTGCATCTAATCCAATCAAATGAAGGATAGACGGAAATTGATATTATATGCAAGCCAGATATGGAAAGCGAATATGAGTCCAAAATTGTAAAAGGAGATACTGTACACCATCAACAAACCAAAGATTGAAGCCCCGCACATGCATAACCAGATTCAATTCCTTTACTTGCTGGTTTGTTCACAAGGAAGAAAATGGAGACGTACGTCAATATTTTTATCCCACGGATTCTGAGGTCCTCGTTTTCTTTTTGCTTTATTTCTTTATTTATTGCACGACTGTTGATCTATATACTTGCACATTATTTTACATGATTGATGGTTGATTGTGTATGAATAATGGAAATATATATACAAATATATACAAGGTGCCAATGAAGGACCCACACCGCGACATCAATGCGATAAAGAAGAATGTGATGTATTTGTTCAATTTATCTCACTACAAGTGATCGAAAAAGCACCTACGGCAACAATGAATCAACACGTAAATCCTCGGCTGATATTAATTTCTTTAGTGGTAAACAAGTGCCGATTACGGGTCGACTCAAAAGATAATGGCTCCACTGGCCATAACCTTGGAGACTCAAACATGAAATATCCAATCATATGTATGCACGAAGAAAATTAAATTTCACACGCCTGTCTTGAAAGACACTCGTTATAGTCATGTGGCTGTAGTCTAATGAGAGAACAGTGTCTCACGACTCGTGAAAGGCGATGACCAAATGCTTTCAATTCTATGGGATGCTCCTTTCAATCTGATTAAAACCACCACCGAGGGCAGAGAAAGTGATTCCTGTAATCATACGTGTGAAAATGAAACTGATCCGACAAAGAAAAAAAAAGGCGTGCTCTGTATATATTATGGGAGTAATCCAGTACTCGGCCATCAATTTGGAAAGTTACGTTCTGCAGCGTGAGTGAGTGCGTACGTGTGTTCCCTTCTTGGGTTAGTTCTATAACAGATTAATTAATTTGCTGTCCTGTGATGGAGCTGGAAATATTCGCGTCCAATGTGGAAACCTCCGAGCCGTATATTTAATTTATATATATATGTGGCAAGTGTTCGAATGAGCTTTATATATTCAAAAGGTACATAATCCCGCAAGTGCTTATAGTCGACCACCTTCGATGATATTCGATGCTCTCATATAGTGTTAAACTGGTAATAGTCACCATTGAACGTGTCCACCAAAAAATTAAATGCTCTCAATGCATTGGGCAATGTAATGATTGGTACTATCTATCGTGTTCATCCGCTGTGCTCCCTCTGCTTTTATCTAGATAAAAAAACTGTATCACATAATTAAAAAAGTCAATTAATTATAATAATTATATTTAAAAATAAAAAATTAAATAAAATATCTTGTGTTAATAATATAAGTGTGCATTAATTATTTATTGTTAATGTAAATTATGAAAGGTAATTTAAAAAATTATAATAAATGCTTATTGAAATTGGATAAATTTATTTATAAAAATATAAGTGAAAAGTGGTAGTTTGTTTAAAAAAAAATGGAGGGAGTATATTCTAATTATATAAGCCGCGGTATCAATTGGAGTCGAAGTTTGGAATTTGAATCGTTCCAGGTCCTCGCCAAAGCCTTGAGGAACGGGAGTTTTCCGTAGCTTCCATCTTATATGTAGGACACATTATTGATCGTCTCTATGGAACTCGGCTTTGGACTGTGGACATTTTTGTACGTTTACTTCTCAGTCGTCCTTCACATACAGGGATGACTTGGGGGGGGGGGGGGCGGGAGTGTTATGAGTATGATCTGTTTGAGTTGTTACTGGCTATTCTCTTTGATCTGATCTATCTTAAAAGCGAGTCCAAGACTAATCTGATAACCAAAAACATGGTTTAGATCCAAACAATTGATTCTAAATCAATATTCAAACAGGCATATAATTTTGTGTCCGCTACTTTTGTTTATTTCATGTCTAATTATAATGGCGATAGCATTCTTAAAGTTTGGTCGAATAATATCTTTTTAATTAAAAATAACCTTGGATTACTATTTTTTCGACCAACTTAAGACTTTCACGTTCTAATGAATTCAAGTGCTCTCTGGAATATCAATCAAATCAAATTAGATGGTTCAAAAAAAGTAAAATTTCTCGTTTAACCAATTTGATTTCATCCGCTGGTTTCATTTGGTCACGTACGCGAAATCTTATGCTTATGCATTCTTTAGTTTTTCGGAAGCCAATAATAATCGAAATGTTATGCATTTACGTTACATTTATCTGACTATACAAAATTGAACCTAATAGGAGGGATACAAACGAAAAAGGAACCAAAGAAAAAAAAAAGAAAAAGAAACAAAAAGCAAAAACATAATATTAAGGGCCTGTTTGGTTGTGTATTACAATTTTTATTTTTAAATTTTTTTGCAATATAATTTTTAAAATTATTTTTCAAAACAAAAAAACTTGTTTGATTGTGTTAATTTAAAAATAATTTTAGAATTAAAAATTAATTGATAGTAATAATTACTAATAGTTAATAGTGATTACCTGCTTGGTAAGGTGATTGTAATTTCTAATAAACAAGTGTAATGTATTTTGAAAATAAAAAGGGTAAAATGAAATTAAGCTTATTTTTTATGTTTTTTAAAAATAAAAAAGTTTTAAAAATAATTAAATTCAAAATATTTGCCCAAACAATTTTTTTTAAATTTTTTATTTTAAAAAACAAAAAAAATTATTTTTAAAAGCAAAAAACCAAACATGCTCTAACTCAACAACCAATAAAGTTCTTTGGTAAAGTCTTCGTAAACTATGAGACGAAGGAAAGAGATCAAGGTAAACCACATTCGACTTCATTTTTACTCCGTGTGGTGTGATTAATTCTCCCTGCTAATTCAACAAAGTACGAACATTTTAACTGTAGATATATATCTTGCGTATTAACTTTCAGGAGAATACATCGTTCTCGCATGTGTGTGTGTGTGTGTGTGTGTGTGTATGAAGCTATATAATTAAACATTTGTCAATGTAATGCGCCACGGTAACACCTGAAAGTTAAAGGGTCAAACGGTAACAACGAACAAATTGCAGTCCAAACCGATTCTGGCCGGACTATTATTCCTCAGTTGCTTGACTTAGTTAATACGTTCAAGGGATAGTTCGAAGCTGTTGAAAACTCCTCAAGGTTCGGAGCTTGGTATACACAGCATGCCATCCTGCATCTGAAGGGTGAACCGAATCCCAAAATAAAGCCGATTTGGGATTATCACAGACACTGTATCTCTTCACATGGTTGTCGTCTACGCTGGCACACGAATACGAGCTGTTAGCTCCGAGGCAACATGGCTTGAAGAGCTGGGGGATGTTATAAGTGGAGGGGTGGCTCAGTACTGAAGTGAAAGCCGCGTACAGATCAAGAAGGAGGAAGGTTGGGGAATATTGGTTGTGTCTGCGAGTGATTCGGTTGAGTCGAAGAAGACTTTGATTCAAGAGGCGGTTGTGGAGAATTGCGAAGGTATTGAAGGCATCATAGCAGCGGTTGAGTGAGAAGAAGTAGGTGATGACGGGAAGGCAACCCAGGGGCTGCAGAGCACTCACCACAATTCTCTTCACTCCCAGCTCGTGGATGCGCATCAAATCCCAACTTGTCTGATTTACCACTGACGCAATGAACGACGGCAGGCCCTGCGGATGAATCATAGCACAGCCTCGGTGAGATCAAACAGCAGCATTGCATCTCAAGTATAATTAAGGTAAAGCGAAGTTACCAGAGACTAAAATGAAAGAACAAGAAGAAATCAGGGAGAAACAGGATCTTTATCTGTATCTCTCTCAATCCTCATCCATGCAACAAGACAGAGAAAGTGCGCGCAGCATTAGCGCAGAAGCAAACCTCGCTTCAGATGATCCTAAGCTAATTCCTAAGTCTACTGATCTCTACAGTGAAAGAGGGTCAAACGAAAAAAACGGCGAATGGAATGCGCAGGCTTTCAATTGGGTCGTGGAAGCTGGATATGTAAAAGTCAACCGGGCCAGTCCCATTAAATACACTTGGCCCAAATTTAGAATGCCAACAAGAGTGGGTTTCTTTTCTTTTTTTTTTTTTGACTTTTTCGTAATTGGAACATCACAAAAATTTCTCCTATCCTGGAGTATTTGTCATCACATTGGCTGAGAGCGAAATGTGGCTGTTAGAGTATGAATTGCCGCCAGTCTTAATCTATCGAACGAAAATCTTCCAAAAAGTTATCCGTTTTGTAGAGAACATGGTGCTTGATTAATCATAGTTCATAGTTTAGATGTCATTTATGCGGACTGTGCAGTGATTATATATATTAAGAGGACACGCTCTAGACAGGGTATGCGTGTTAAAATCAAACCGACCAACAAATGGGCGGGGATCATGTGTGAAGAGATGTATAAAAAAGAAAGTATCAAGGGACTTTGATAGCATAACACGTACGTAGCTACGCCGGAATATGCTATGAAAATTTCAGATAGTGTGACACGAGAAAGAACAAAACGTTAAAAAAAAAACTGAATATATATTTGTGATAGTTTATTTATGGAAAAACTGCTCAGAAAGACTTCACCAAATTTCATTTTGCTAAGAAGGACTTGGGACATTAGGCCCTTCTCTAGCATCAAACGGAAGCAACAGAAGACTAAAACACCCTTGCCAAATTCTCCCCATCTCCGTCCTCTCTAGCTCCCATGCAATAGTTTTGGCTCTATGATTTTGATGGTAATGACTAGTAGTGGGCGTGATTCCAGTGGCGATGGCGATAAAGGAATCCAAAACATTGACAATGATGTAGAAGTATGTCGCTAGTCTTGCGTTAGTGACGAACAATTCACCCACCCTCGTTGGTTTTTTGCTTGGACTATGCTTGTCATGTTACGTTAGTTGTTGTCTACTTCATTCCTCCCAACCGACTACTCTGGTAAAGAAGATGATCAATTACCACTACAAGGGGGGCGTTGGAGGATAATTTAAGGAAAGGGGGGATCACTACCTTTACGATGGGCTCTTGCCGTCGTTGTCTTCAGCATCCTTGGAACTTTGTGAATGAAGGTTCGCTTTTTCACCTCCTAATACCTTTAATCATTTTTTGAATTGGAATTTTATGTTTAATGATTTGGAGCAAGTCAATTATAGAAATTGTTTGTAGATGGATTTGAATCTTTCTGCTTTGAGGTCTAGGATACCTACAAAAGTTTATCACTTTTTGTTGTTCTATTACTCTTTGACTTCTATTTAAAATTTTGGATTGAAATGTATTTGATATGTCTAAGCTTGAATCTTTAGTTTTAACAAATCTTCTAGCTTAAAGTTGCATAATGGATTTCTTAGTGTTACTTCCTTAGTTTTCATATATGAGTGTTACTTCCTTTTCGTACTTCTAGCATGATGGATTGGTTTGCTTTGCTCTATCTTCATTAACTTGAATATCGAAGTTCTTCTTACAAGACTTGATATGCTATGGGAAAATAAAAGCCAAAACTTTAGATGGAAGATAGGCGTTGGCGTTCAGAGACAAGAACTCTTGCAAGACAGCTTTGTACATGATCAAAAAAGTGATTAATCTTCTAAGAGATGAGGTCCACATAAGACTTAAACCTTTGCTTATGGTTGAAAATTTTAACGTCTTGCATGGTAGATATTTAGATTAGCAACTATTGTTTAGTGTCATTCTTTTTGTATACTAGCCTTTCCTTGCCCTGGTTTGTAGGTGTTTGGGCTAGAATATGAAACATCACTCAGACAGGTCATAGGACTAGTTGGATTGAGTAACTAAAGAGTCAGACCCCATATAAATAAAAGGGTTGGCCTCGAAACTCAATAAAGGCTACGATAAAATAAACATGTCAAAATCTTATCAGTTACAAGCATTGAACCGTTGGCACAAAAGACGTAATCTTGAGTAATTCTTGAATCTACGAACATCATGCCTAGATATCTTGGTAAGACGGGCTAATTATAAAAAATGGAGAACTTGAAATAAAGAGCGTGCCATGAGTTTCGTGAGATCCTGACTCCTAAACAACATGTGTTGGGTACTAAGGAAGGGGCTACCACTATTCTAACACTATAAATAAAAGACGAAAATACAAAAGAAAACAGTTAACACTCAATAAAAGACTTGCACTTTTACATCTTGTAGCCTTAGTTTATCAATTAGTTTTACTTTCAATTTAGATTTGTGACTTCTCGTATTTCAATAAAATCAAATACTTATTTTATTAAAACTTTGTATCTTTTTATATCCAAGTGAACTATGTTAAGGAGCTCAGGATCATTTTATTATTAATTGAGACTTAATGTCTCTGGCACGCTTGATATTTATTGTTCACTATGAATAATAAATTTTTACCCTTCTCTCTTGTACTTTATCCAGCTTTAACTTGCGGTCCATAATTTTTTTTTATTTATGATCTTTTATACATTATGTAGCAAGTTTTGTAACACTGTAAGGAGGGAACCTCATAATGAAAGCTTTTACCTCTCTCTTTCCCATATTCATTATCTGCCCGGATCAGACTTAATTTGTATGAATATGTATTGATGCTTTTAATGAAAACTTTATCTTTACCCCATTCTTGTTGAAAACTTGCTGTGTTAATTTTGAGTATTTGAACATCTTTGCGGTTATTATTTCTTTAATGCTTTCGTTAATGACTTCATTTTAAGTACTCCCAAATCCCATCGATTAAGCTATCTATAGCTATTTATATAGTGCTACATAATTAAGTCATGTAATCTAATTTCAAATCATGGTTAAGTGAGATCTTTTTTTTTTATTATCATGAGGAATTTGGTTAAGATCTTAAATTGTCAGTGAGCATTGCTTATTTGTGAGCGATAATTTGTAGTACAAGAGTACAAGAAACGTGTTACAGATGTGGCAAAAATTTTATGTCTATATGAAAGCTTGATTGATGATTATGCTTATTTCTAAGAGGGTAGACAAAATGAGGAATGCACATGGTCAGGTGGAGGGTGCAAATGTAGATGTTGGGGCTTTATTGATTAAGTCTCATTTGGTGATGCACATGAGTTGCAACTTTAGTGGAAAAGAGAGAAGAGGACATTTTGATTTGAAAATGACAATTATGAAATGTGGAAGAAAATGACATTAGACCTTTTTACTTTTGTTAAGAGAATGTTGCACTTGCACCTGAAGGTATTTGGCAAATAATATCTAAATTTTTGTATTATTTTATTGTAATGTAGTTTATGTTGTTAAGGAATGTAAAAGCATGTTATTGTTTAATGATAAATACAATTTGTTGGTGTTCAATTGTTGTTCACTTGTTCTTTATACTTTAAATTGGTCTGATTAAGTTTTCAGAACAATAGTAATCATTAAAAATATCTTTTGGCGTTCTCATGAAAAATGAGTAAATTTTCATAATTTTCATATGTGATTTTAGAATATTCATGTGCATTTTTACAATATCCATATACATTTTGAGAATATGCATTTGTGATATTCTAAAAAACACAACATTAATGCAGTATTCATATCTCAAGTTCTAAACCATATTTGAATATGTACTTTGAATATCATGAAAATGTAAATTTTCTTCTATTTATTCAAATAACCATTTTGGATATTCCAATATCACTTCAAAAAATTGCACATAAGCTTTCATTTATTGAATATGCAAAAATATTATTTGAATATATGGAAGAAATTTAAATTTCGTTGAAGATTAATCGCATATCAAGAAAGAAATATTGCATATGCTTTCAAAAATATTCATAAGAGAAATTAATGAATGATATTCCAATATGCAAAAGTGTTATTTGAATATGTGAAAAAAATTTACATTTTATTAAAGACTAGTCTCATATTGAGGTAGGACGATTGCATATGCTTTCTAAAGTATTCGTAAGGGAAACTAATGAGTGATATTTAAATATGTAAAAATATTATTTTAATATATGAAAGCTTTCTTACATATTATTGGAGTTCAAATTCATAAAGTGCATATGACTAAATATCATTGCTCTTAGTATTATAAAATGCTTTTAAGTTAAGAATTTTCATAACATTAAAAGGTGTTATTTGAATAAATAAAAGTTTTCTTACATATAATTAAAATTTAAATGCATATAGTGAAAGAATTGATGTATATGATTGAATATACCTATTTCTAATATTTTAAATTGACATATTGACATTAAAAAACTTTGTATTAGATGTTAACATGAAATTATTGACAATGAAAGGCATTGTGACATATTAACAATGAAGGTTCTTTTCAATTTTTGAGCATTTTTGTCATTTAACCTTCATCAATTATTCCCAGTGAAGAATCTCAATATTAAATCACTTTCAATTTTTTTTAACAATTAATTTGATGGTGGAGTCTTGTATGACAATTTTTTCTTTATTTATTGGGCATTTTATTTTATGTATGAACGTGAGAAGAGGAGGAATGGAATGAAATCCTTATCTGGAGGAAAAAGGAAAATATAATAAAAATAGGAATGGAAGGCGTAGAGAGAGGAGGGGGAGATAAATACCTCAAAGGAGCCGCTGGTGGCCACGTAATGGGCGTAATCATTTCCAGCGACGGAGACGAGGGCCACCGAGTTGGTGAGATCCTCGCTGGTGTACACTTTATGTTTGATCATCTGCTCCAAATTATCAATCTGAGTGGAAACATTCGGCGCGCCAATATCTGCATCGAACACTCCCGCGCCCCCAAAAGCGAAGTTCATTCCTCTTTTCACATTCTCTGCCATCGTCTTCCTCGTTCCGAACGGCTCCGGCGATTTCAGCCCCAAGTACGTTGCTGCGTCCACCCCTTCTCCTTCAGTTACTGCGTTATATATATATATACAATGGAAAAAGTAAGCTAAAAACAGAGACATATATTCACGTCGGGGAGGTACCAACGAAGTCGGTCAGGACTCGGCCATCGGAGAAACGACCGGCGGGTTTGCCCGGATAGGTTGTTCCGTAAGGGGCTTTCCAAGCACTCGATTTCCCTTTCAGGCTGTTTCCGGTATCGGCGTAGGAATCTCCGAAAACAAATATACTAGTCGGGCGAAAGTTATGCTTGTGATGTATCCCTTGCTTACTCTGTACTGCCGTTCGAGTTTGCTCTGCCAGAACAAAAATGATCAGAAGGCTGATCGAGTAGGTGTGTGTAAAATCAATAAATACGAAAACAGTTAAAGAAATTAGCGAGGGAAGAGGGATGGAGTTTTGATACCCGAGACGGAGACAAACATAAAGAGGAGGAGAGAGAGGATGGACAAGTGGTGGCTGTGAGAGCCCATGGGGGAGGAAGCGGCTGCACGAGGATTGGAGTCTGATGCAAATTTTGTAAGGGAGAATGACATATAGGTACAAGTGGACCCATTAATTTAAATTAACTCCTAATTAATTTTAAAGTATCAAATGAATTGTATATTTGACTTTTAATTTTATAATTTTATATGATAAATGTATAATTTATATTTTAAATTTTAACTAAATATTTTAAAGTATCAAATGAATTGTAAGTTTGATTTTCAATTTTATAGTTTCATGTGATGAATTTATAATTTATTTTTTAAATTTTAACATTATTAAATTTATTTTTAGTTAAAATTTAAAATATAAATTATAAATTTATCATAATAAATTTACAAAATTGAGAGCTAACATTGTAAATTTTTGAAATTTATTACCTCAAAAGTGATTGGGACTTAATTAATTTAAATTAATTGGAGACTTATCTATCATTCTAATCCCATTTTGTAAATGAAAGGGAACTTTGTGAATTGATTGTAATGGATAGCTAGGGGAGAATGTTTAGGTAATTACCAGACTAGGGGAACTGATTAATGATCGATATTTGTTAACATAGAGAATAGAAAGATGGGTCAACTCGGGCATGATGATGATATCAGACGTGGATTCCCTAACCTTTTTAATTGTCATGCACTTATTCGTATTGTGATTATGAGCCCAAAAACGTATTGTGAGAATTGCCACCAGAAAATCCAAAATAAAGAGACAAACCTTCAAAACCATTTAAGGACTTGCAACATATGCCATTATTACATGTTGAAGTTGGACCTAATATGTGAAGGTTAATATCGGAAGGTTGGCCTCCGATGAAGATAATATCCGTGACCAAACCCTTTCGTCTATTCACTTCACAAATTTATTCACTTATCCTATTTCCTTATTATCCATTTCCCTCCTTTTGTCCTTATCACCACATCAAAATTTTAACACTTCTGATCTAATATTTGATAACATTATAATTTTAATTTTATATAAAAATATATAAATAAATTTGGGCTGTTAATTTTTTTTTGGCTTGATGAACTATTAAAATTTGATCTAAACAATTTAAAACTATAATTTTTATTTATATATTTTATGTAAAATAATAATTTTATCAAAAATTAAATCTAAACCATTAAAAAACTTGAAAAATTTATATCCAGGTACCACAGATGAAAATTTATTACCGAGAGATCCTACAAATTTTATAAAATACTTTCAAGTTTTAAATTCTACATATTAACAACTTGATTAAAAGCATTTATAACTAGATAAGGGTCATTTACAATTGTCATTGCCCAATTGTCAATATCATTAATCAAATTGAAAATACGCAAGATTTGAAACTCAGAATTATTTTGCAAAATTTGTGGGTACCTTGATATAATTTTTTCAAAAAACTTTGATTGATCGGTAATGAAGGAAAAGAGACACCTATCTCCCCATATAATTATTTTTAAACGTTGGTAAACTTGAATTCTATTTACTATTTATATTCTCAATCCATGAATCCACACCACGCGCGATTCCCGTCACCCATATCGGTGGCTACGATCATGTCTCCATTTGAGCTACGCCGTGCAAAGGTGCGCGCGCGTTAAATTTAGCGGACGGTTAAATTTCCCTGCAAAGCAGATCCCCGCATCAGCACCGCCGAATCCTTTTCCGTTTCTAAAGGCGAATCCGTCGTGTGATCCTTAATTGTCGCGTACTAGATTTCACGACAGATTAAACAAAATTCAACCAGAATAACATGGAAATATTAACAGGAAGAGGTCTACACACATTGCTTTCAATAACTCGGGGAAAATGGAACCTGCTTCTTATACTTATCAAGAAAAATAACTGAGTAAATCACACACGCCCTCCCCACCTGGTTCGCAGGACAAGAAAGACCATTAAAGCAAAATCCTACTCAACTACGACTCATTGCACACCCGAAAAACGGCCGAAACATGCTGACTACTACCACAAACTTCCTTTCTACCAAAGAGACAGAAACAAACTCTCTCTGTTATTGTTTGTATCAGTAGTGAAGTTGTTGAAGATCAGAGGTGTTTCTCAGTTTGTTATAGACGGCATGCCACCCAGCCTGTGTGGGGTGAACCATATCCCAGAAGAAAGATGCATTGGGATACTGACAAACCCTATATTTCTTGTCCTGCTTATCGTCTACACTCCCACACGAATACTCAGTGCTCACCCCTGCGCAGCATGGCTTAAACGTGTTCTCCATTTTATGGCTATTTTGTTTTTCGGTGGCATTCAGCACTGACAAGAAACTTTCATAAAGGTTAACCATCACGAAGCTGAAATTCTCCTCGCTTTCTCCGTTCACCTTCTCTACTGCATTCAGTAAGTAGCTGTTATGAATCGAGACGAGCGTGTTGTAGGTATCGTTGCAAGCTTTGTATGACGATGAGACTGTGATCTCGGGAACGCATCCAAGAGGTGGTAGCGAAGTCACTGCAATTTTCTTCACTCCCAACTTATGAATCCTTTGCATATTGAGAGCCGTCTGATTCACCACTACGCCAACAAAAGAAGATAGGCCCTGATATGTATGTATGTACATGAGAAAACAGAGAACCATCAGTATAACCTCAGATTAAGCCTGACCGTACGTGTTCATAACTGTATATTGAATAAATGATGATACTAAACCTGAAGAAAAGATCGAACTATACTATTTAAATATATAATTTATATCTAAAATACTTACACTGATCGAGCCATTGGTGGCCAAGAAGTTGCTGTAGTCATTCCCGGCCACGGAGACAAGGGCAACTGACTTGGCAAGGTCGGATTCATTGATTTCATTGCCATTGATGAGGCTTTCAAATTGATCGATCTGGGTGGTCATGTTTGGCCCTGGAATTAAGGTGTTGAAAACACCAGTTCCACCAAAAGCAAAGTTTATCCCATATTTGCCGTGATGTGGCTGTTGTTTTAGCATTCCGAAAGGCAATGGTGACTTCACTTTCAAATACTTAGCTGCACCAATCATCAGTACGAGTTCGTTAACAATTCAGCAAACTACATAAGATCGTCTGATTGATGTTGGCTAATGTGAGGAATAGATTATTCTATTTATTTGTCTGTGATTGTAATGATTGATTAACCAGTAAAGGAGGACAGGCTTTTGATAACTTTTACTCATGAAAAAACAGCATGCGTACAGACTACAGTAACCATTTAAAAGTTTACGGGGATAACAAAAGAGTGATGATAATACATGCTGAATGAGTCTTAAATTATAAGAGAATAGTATATAACTACTTTTGAGAAATTTTTCCATCTTAAATTATAAAATAAAGTTAGGAACATTGTTATCTTAAAATATAAAATAATTTTAAAAAAATAAAGTTTTACTAATAATTTTTTTTAATATTATTATTCTTTAGATATGGAGAGAAAATTAAAATAATATTATATCATAATGGTTAAATATGTAGGGATATTTTTAAAAGTTTATAATTTTATTTTAAAAAAATAAATTTATAAAATATAATTATTATATTTTATTGGTATGCACAGTATTTTTAAACTTTGTTTTATACTTTAAAACAGGAGAAATAATTAAATGTGCAATTTCCATGAACAAGAAATGTGATAGTGAGTAGTACTAAAGAATTACGATAGAGCGTGCTGAAAGCATGACTAATGCCTAATGGTATTAACAAAGAGAAAAGTGGCCAAAGCATGCTGTCACACGTAAGAAAGTAAAGAACAGACCATGCTGTTGAACAAATAATTCTAGGGGAAAAAGAGAGACAATGTAGAATACAGATGGGACATGATTATGAAGTAGCAGGGCAAAAGGAAAAAAGAAAAGTTGAATCAATTGAGTAATGAATAAGTTTTCTGGAAAAAGAGAGAACCAAACAACATCAGATAGTGAAATATGAAGTATAGAGAAGCCAAAAAAGCAGGGTACACATGCCGATATAGTCGGTGAGGACTCTTCCGTCGGAAAATCGACCGGCGGGTTTGCCGGGAAAGGTGCTCCCATAAGGCTCTTTCCAGACCTTAGATAGTCCTCTTCGGATGTTTCCGGTGTCCGCGTACGAGTCACCAAAAACGAACAGTTTCCTTGACGCGGATTTAGGGCGGTGGATATGGTGACGAGCCTCGAGTTGCAGAATCCACTGTTCTGTGATGACAAGTATTGTAAGAAACTGATTGAGGTTAAAAATGTGAACTTTGGGTTGGTGAAGAAAACTAAAAAGCTAAAAAGGAGAGAATAGAGAATGAAAAGAGTGGTATGCACCTGAGAGGAGTAGAATAAGGAAAACAGAGAGGAGAGAACAAGGGTGCTTGCGCAGTGAGGCCATGATTGACGCAGTAAGGAGGAAACGGCTTTGAGGAGAAGGGAAAGGTGGAGTCGCCGAGCGAGGACATACGAAAGCCTCAGAAATGAGTAACTAGAAACTGGCTGTATTTATAGCGCCAATGAGACCAATACACGTACACCCAAAATCCCCGTTTCCTGTATAATCTTCCAAACACTATTTATAATGCAGTCGAGATTTTTTTTCTCTATTTACAAATTATATTATATTTTTATTATAAATTTTTTATTTTATTTTTTATCAAATATTTGTGAGATAAAATATATCATTAAAAATTTAAAATATATATCTTAAGAACAATGTTGACAAGTTAAATTTTTAAATATACTTCTTTTATTACAAAATATAAAATATTTTTAATTAAATCTTATCTCTTAATAAAATAATTATTTATTTTTAAATTAATCATATATTTTTATATTTATTATTATTAAACACTCTATAATAAATATAAAATTAATATTGATAAGAGTATTTTAAAAAAAAAATAATTATATTTTAAAAAATTAAAAAATATTTAATATTTTTAAATATTTAATTTTGTTAAAAATATATTATATTTTAAAATAAAGAGAGTAATTAATAAGCTAATGTTTTCCTTAGTATTATAAAGACGACTGGAGGAGTGTAAGTAATATAAAAGCATACTTGTCTTCGTACTATGAAGCCATGTCTGCGGGACTGCGACACATTTTTCTCCCTGATTGACATGTGGGCAATTGGCTAATTAGTTTTTGTCATAATACTCTTTTTATCTCAAATTAAAATATATTTTTAAATAAAATTTTATATATTAATAAATCTTATTAAATAAATTTAATAATTTTATTTTTGAAAAAATATAAATTTATAAAAATATTTTTTATTTAATATATTAAAAAATAGGAAGAAAAATTAAATAGAGAGGTAGAAAGATTAATATTAAAATAAATTCATTTAATAAAATTTTAATTTTTTAAAAATATCTTATATTTTAAAATGTGAGTCTCTTATAAAAATATTTTATAATTTTTTTGTATACAGTAGCATTATTGTTTCAATAATTATCCTCCAAGACCGCATTGGGTTCGCCAGTATTCATGCTGCGCTCATGCTTAAGGCACTGATGGTACCCCCGCTAATACATTATCCTTTATATTCAAATAATTATTTTTAAATTAATTATATGATTTTCATTACTTGATTGGGTAAAAGGCTCAAAGTATATAATAAAAACTAAATCATAAAAATAATCTTATTCTCATCTCCGTAAATATTATTTGCACACGTCTCAAATTAAAATTGAATCCAATAGTTTCGGCGAAAAAACAACAAACAAAAACAAAAAAGGTTGGAGTTTCAAACTCCCAAATTAACGTGGTTAGGATTTTGAAATTAGAAGATGTAGAAACATAATAATAATAAATTCCACTTTTTTACTAGATCACGTATTGGAAGTATGAGGATTGGCCGAGTTTGGAGGGGAAAACTTAACAACAAAGGTGCAAAAAGGAACCGGAGGCATAAAAGAATTAGAAAAGAGCAACAGAGCGATAATGAAAGTTCATATATGATACTTTTTCTTAATGGGATATACAATCAATTTACAATTAATGTCAATATAATCACAATATATGAGATAAGTTAACCTTGACAAAATACATTAACAAGTAATAAATTACAAATCAATCGTAATCAAATAAAATCACATTTAATTGCATTAACAATAATTAAGTTTAACATGAAATTGGTATACTTATTGACTTCAACTTGCTATACATATAGTCAATTAAAGACAAAATCTTCACTAACGGTAAGAAAATCTTCATTTTCATTCCTGTAGATTTCGGGAAAAAAAATCCTGTAAATATGAGATCCATTACAAAATAAGTACTATGTAAACAATTTTATTATTTTCTTTAAATTTTTGAGATTCTTTTTTTATAATTTTTTTGTTAACTAACGATAATTAAAATGAACATAACAATAAGGACCACATTGTACTATTTCTAAATTTTGAAATAAAATATTACATTAAAAATACACTTAGGGTTATAGATGTGTTTATAACCAAACTGTAAATTTGGAAGCCCAGCTTAACTCAACTTAATCATCCTTAAAATAATTAAAAATAAATATTTGTGAAGCCTTGCCCGCTAAATCAATACCATGTTTGGGCCATCACACTCCACCCATAATAAGTGACCATAATAGAGGAAGTGTTTTCTAAATTCAAGCCAAGATCATAAATAAATTGAGGAACTATCTCTCATAAAAAAAGGATCATCATCAACAACAAACTATCGGTCAAATTCCTAGACTCCACATCTATTATATTTTTTTTATTATGTAGTTTTAGTTTTTACTTTTTTGTTATACGACTAGTATAACCCACCATCTCTTTGTTTAATTAATATATCTCTGCTTCCCTACATATACATTACTTTTTTTCACTTCACATTCTAACATCCAGGTAAATTATGGTAAAGGAGCCTGGATTCTCCGCGTTTGATCAGAATTCATGTTCTTTTATTCTTTTAAGACCCTTGCATCTCTAACACGCCTTGTGACTCTTCTGTTTTTGCCGAACAAATTTTGGCATGCTCGGTGGGACACTCGTGAACAAAATGCATAAGACACGCGAGGATTAATATGTTGTTGGAAAGAATGGACCTAAGTCTTAAGACTTAAATAACATGGCTGCACAGCCTTTTGCACTATAGTGATTATGGGATTATAAGTAACACCTCCTCAAGGAATGCCTTACGCACTTGCTCGAAACGAGAGTCTTAAATCCTCTTGTTCAGGTAAACTTTCTATTATTGTGTCTAATGATGTTGGAGCTTTATCTTTGGCCATTATACAAAGTCATATTGATAACTAAGCAACGACCTCACATGCACTAGTAGAGAAACTTAAGAGAACAAGAGCGAGCCAAAGCCTAGGAGAAGTTGGAATCTCAGGCTGACAAGAGGCAAGGAGCTCTGTTGCAGACTCTGAAGGATAGGCCAAGGAACATTTTCACTATGCTGTCTAGATTGTCGTAGGAACAAGTTTTAATTGGCTCTTACATTCAGATCATAGATGGACTTGAGGTAGTCTCTCAATATGCCCTTCGACTAAAAGATCAACAATGAGGACCGTTATAACATCTCTTAAAGAAGAAATAGTGGGTCTAACTCAATAACAGGCCTGTTCGTCTGGCCAGTAGAAAGGACAAAGGACAAGACGCTATGAGAAAGAACGATATACCACTAAGATACCTTTCATGAAGCTCTTCAGGAGTGGCACCACTAAGTTAATGCTCTTCACAAGTCTCTTTAAGAAAGACGAAGAGATCTTAAGGTTAAAGTCGAGCCTATGAGTCAAGTCACCATTAAAAAGCTTAGGGGACAGGTTGTATGGGCTCACCAAGAGGACTTCATCTCCAAGGTGTCTATTCAAGCCAGTTTTCAAGCTGAGAAGAAGTAGACAACTTTACCTAAAATGTGGGAAAAAAATCAAAAGTCTGTAAAAAAAAACTCAGGGCTCTAACAAAGAAATGAGAAAGGTCTTTGGCTAACAATTTCTTTAATACTGGTACTTGGACTATCAATTTTTGAAACCATAAGGCCTGATTTGTCATTTCTTGTGGTCCCTACTCTATCAAATTCAAATGACTTTGATATAAATGAGTCATATTTTAAGAGATCGAATCCTAAGCCACTAATCCCACAAGGACTAACCTCATAAGGGCTAACTTTATACGGGCCAGCACCACATGGGTTAAAATCAGAAAAGCAAGCTTTGCAAGAGCCCTCTTTATAGGAACTCTCTCTTCAATGACTCTCATCATAGGGACTAATTTCACACGAGCCAGCACCACAAGGGCCAAAGTCAAAACGGTGTGCTCTGCCAAGGCCCTCTCCACAGGAGCTCCCTCCCCAAGAGCTCTCTCCATAAGATCGAGCCCCACAGTAACTAGATTTTATAGAACTAGCCCTTAAGGCCTCATAACTTGAAGGGCTAATTTTAAAACCAGCACTTGAGGTCTTAAACCTTAAGAAACTCGATCCTATGCTAAACCATTTAGCCCTTAATCCTCAACCACGAGAGTGTCCTAAAAAAAGTACCAAATCAACCATCACTCAGAATAGGACTGAGTCGATCCTCTAAGACATACTGCTCACACAACACTTAGAAGCAGGGCCAATAGAAATATCCATATAAAATTGGCCTATGAAGGCTTCGGCCAATTTGTCTGTGAGGGGCATTATTTACACCCAAATTATAAATTTAGAAGCCTAAACTCAACTCAACTTAATCAACCTTAAAATAATTAACAATGAATATTTATGAAACCTTAGCCACTAAGTCAAAATCTTGTCCAGGCCATCATCTCCATATTCTACCCATGATGAGTGACTACAATGGAGGAAGTACTTTTTAAATTTAAGGAAAGTGATGATCATGGGGCTTGAGCGCCAAGCCAAGATCATCTACCAATAGAGGAGCCTTCTTTTATCAAAAGAGGATCATTACCATCAATAAATTACGTATCAAATTCCTATAATATATGTCTACTATTTTTTTTATCATGTAGTTTTAGTCTTTATTTTTTTATTTTAAGGCCGGCATAGCCCGCCACCTCTTTCTTTAATTAATGTATCTTTACTTTCCTGCTAGGGGTGTAAATGGGCAGGTATGGGCCACCCATGGCTAAACCCGTTACCCACCTATTTATGAGTAAACGGGTGGCCACTCACCCGTACCCACCGATACCTATTTCCGCCCGTTTTTAAACGAGTGCAAACAAGTATGGGCAGGTGCAGGCAGGTCTAGGCCACATGTTTACCTGTAGCAACCACTTTCAGAAATCACTCATCAAAACTTCAAGATCATGGCAAAATTGTGAAAAAAAAAGGGTCTTCACAGTGGTGCACGAATCCACTTAACATCATAATTCACAAATATTATTTATTTATAATCAGAGATTGTTCGAGCACAATGTGAGAGATAGTGAGAGGAAGCTGAAGTTAAAGTAGTGAGAGGAAGTTAAAGTTAAAATCATTGCATATTGCACCAACTGATTTAAAGTTGAAGAATAAGGCGAAGCTGAAAGCTCTCTCGTGACTCTGGCCAATATGGGACAAGTTGAAGAACAAGGTGAAGAATGACTGGCGACTGTAAACGGCAAAGCGAATGACTAGAGCTCTCTCACGATTGTGACTCAGGTTAACGGGGAAGAAGTTGAAGAGCAGGGTGAGGTAGGACTAACAAGTGGCGAGTAGTGACTGTGAACGAGTGGAGCTCTCTTATGATTGTGACTTAAGCGAACAAGGATGACGTGTGACTGGCGAGTGGCAACCACAAACGAGTGAAGCTCTCTTGTAACTCAAGCAAACGGGGGAGAAGCTGGAGAACAAGGTGAATGGTGAAGTGTGACTGCAAATGGTAGAACGAATGGAGTCAGTCCCCGGAGTTAAGGCACACACTCGCTACTTAATCACTCATGCAATGCAAAATTGTAGATCTAGATCCACTATCCAAATCACACACAACAGCAAATTGGTAACAGGAGTTTTTTTGTTTTTGAACTTCGAAGTCAGGATTCAAGGCAAAGTCAGTAATGCATAATGGTGTTTTTTTTATGTTCATGAATGATCTGCGCCTAGTGGTCTGGGCTGATTTTTTTTTTCACATACACAAACTTTGGGCTGGAAACTGGTGTTTTAAGAGACTAAAAAATTTAAAAAAATATAGTATAAACGGGTGGGTATGGGCCACCCGCAGCCTTACCCGTTACCCACTCGTTTATTCACATACGGGTAAATACTCACCCATACCCATTTTTCTTCCTAATTGAATGGGTATGGGTTGACCCATTTTTGAATGGGTCGGGCAGGTATGGGTGGATTTGTGGGTTAACAGGTAAAATGCATACCCTTATTTCCTGCATCTACATTACTTTTATTAATTTCGCATTCTAACATTTAAATAAATTGTGGGAAGGGAGCCCGAGTTTTCCATATTTGATTAAAAATTAAGTTTTTTCATCCTTTTGAAACCTCACATCTTTGGCACACCTTGTGACACCCCATTTATTTTTGCCAAACAAAATGTTCATAGACTTATAATTTAAGGATAAAATTTTTTTATTTAACCCTACAAACAAATATTATTCTTCAATTAGTCTCCTATAAAATCATCTTTTCAATAAACAAATAATATATAGAATTAGAGTATGACAATAGTTAATTTCATAATTTGGTGAGAAATAAATTATGGGACTGTTTGAAACTATTTTTATTTTATTATTATGAGAATAAAAAAATAATAAAAATAGGTGTTTTTTTTATTCTCACTTGTTCTTCAAAACAATAATCACAGAACATTTAAAAGTTATTTTATTTTTTTATTCTCCAGAATAATATTTTATTTTTTATTTTTTAAAATATTTTTTAAAAACACATTATTAAATAAATTTTTTTATTTTTTTATTCTGAAGAATAAAAAATTATTTTTAAAATAAGTTTTCAAACAGTCCTTATATTTACTGTTTGGCGTTTTTCCTGTGAGATCAAGCGCGTGTGCAAAGCGTGAGCAAAAAAGATATATTTATTGCGCCGAAGGCTTGATATCTGTTTTCTCGACCGCCATAAAATTGGTCTTGATTAGACAAGGGCTCTTAAACAGCACTCCCTCGTGTCTAAGTTATAAGATATTTTTTTCAACTCATCTTGATTTAAAATATAAAATACTTAATAAATTTTAAATTTTTTTAATTTTATTATTGTATTTATTAATTTAGTTTATTGTATAATGTTATTAATATTTATCATACTTTTCTCACTTTTTATGATGGTTAAAAATTTATTGATCTGCAAAGAGATTCACATTTTCTCATGTTATTGTACTTTATTAAAAAAAAACATTATCTCCTTCATTTTATTTATTATTGGCAGTTGGGAAAAAGAGTAAAAAGAAAAACTTATAATATTTATAACTAAAAACAAAAATATAACTAAATTTTATTGATATTCAAATTATAATTAAAAATATTTTATATTTTGAATTAGAGAGAGTAATCTATAAATAATTATTGCAATTTATTGAGAAATATTCTTCTAGTCTGATTTATAAATTATTTTTAGCATATCTTATTGAAATTAAAAAATTTAAAATTAATTAATTATGTCTGAAAATTTAATAATTTTTTAATTTTGTTTCTATTAAATAAACATATTTTAACAATATATTTTTATCTTTTGAATATTTAACAGAGAGTAAATGAAAAAATTTTGTAATTTAATAAAAATTTAATGAGATAAATTATAAATGGAATCAAAAAAAATATTCCCTCTCCATACAACATGATCAAAGGGAGTAAAATGTCAGCCATTACTTATGACAACATGCTGAATCCCACGACCGTGATCGAAGGGCCGATAATGGAGTTGTCTGGACAGTGGTTGAGCTCTTAAAGTGGAGTTCTGGATGGAGCTGATTGTCCCAATCTTATCATTATGATGATTACTGAAGATGAGTCCGTCACAGACACATTGACCCTCTCATTCAAAGTACTTTAGCAAAGTCGGGTCTGTCTTTGGCACATAACAGAATGATGTTTTTATCCTCCAAAAATAGATTTAGACTGTAGAAATTAAATTTAGATGGTCGAAATTTAAAATTTTAATTCTATATTTATTAAAATAAAAAATTATAAAAAATATAAATATGCCTTTGCATTATCTATCTGGATAGGATTTAATTTGAATTATTCAATTTAATTTTAAAATTTTTTCTAATTTTATAAATTTTCTATTTAGATGTATTTTAAAATATGGACCATCCAGATTTAATATTAATTTTTTTATAGTTTATATATTTTAATAAATACAATATTAAAAACAAAGATAATCTTTAAATTGGCACTTTTAAAAAATATATTTACTTAAAAAATTATAAGTTAAAGATTTTAATTTTGGACGGTCCAGAATAATTAATTTATAAAAAATATATAAAAATTAATATTAAATTTCAACCATCTAAGTTATATCTGTTCGAATTAGTAATAAGCATTTATTAATTCTATCAATTTTTACTTTGATAAAAAAAAAAATATAAACTGCACTTGGCGAGCCTGAACTTTTATCTCACTGTCGTTGCCTTCATCATCTAGTCTACTGTTCTTTCTCCTCCACATATCTATCAAGTTCTAGCACGCCGTTATCAACTTCTTTATGAAATTTATCAATTACAAGGTTCTTGTTTCACAGTGTTGAATGGCAACAACTACCATATCCTTGGTCACGGGATATGAAGATGGCCCTTCTATCCAGGAGCAAGTTTCAGTTCGTCGATGGAAGTCCTCCTATGCTGAGAGCTTCTGCTCCGCTTTCGCCCTCACCGCAGCGTCGCAACAATCTCGTCCTTACCATAGCTTAAGGTTTAAATCTGGACGGAGCACAGAAGATGATTCCGTTTTAGGTACCTTGTACTTTTATTCTAATTTTTTTTAATTTGTACTAAAAAAAAAAAAAAAGGTTTTGCTGGCTCATCGTTTTGTTGCCGTCTTTCTTGCCCAGAAAAAGTGATTCTATAGCGTATGCACGTTACTCTACAAACTATCAAACTCGCAAGAGTTCAAAAGGACCTCTTCGCGGGAAGGAGATTAACAAGTTCCTAGAACGAGCGCGCTGATCCCGGAGAACACAGGCAGTTTATCAGCAAATTTTAAAGTGTCTGAGCGACATAGAGAATGTAAGAAGCAAGAACCCCAAACATTACAAATCTACATAGTCCCAACTCCCAAGTCCTGGAATTACACATGGGATTGATATGTTACACGACAAATGGGTTGTATATATAGCTCTATAGAGAGAATCAATTCTCTCAGCTCAACTCCACTTCATCAACCATCTGCACTTTTTTACATGACTGAAAACGTAATCCAACCTACAACGCAAGTACAACCATATTACCTCGCTCCACGTAACATTCCTCGATGGAAATGAAAACATCGAGGTTGCTCTGATATCTTATCGAATGGTGAAAGGGCTAATCTTGATGACTAATCCTGGGAAAACATCATCTGGGTCATGAATGTGAGGATTCTCTTCGACAATGTAAGGATCCCCACACTTCTCACTTATGGTTTGCAGTGTCTCTCCCTCGCGAACCACATATATCTCATCACACCCCTTCTTCGTATTCTCCTGCATCATCTCAATCCCCAACTCGCTTGTGCCTGACTCGCAGCAACTCAGTACCAGCATGACTGCTAGAAACAGAGCACAATACCAAGATATCTTCTCCCCCATTGCCGTTGAAGAACGCCCACAAGCCATCGGAGAACTTAATGAATTCTTCTTAGGACTCATAATTTCTTGTCTCAAGTAGGTGGGGTTTTAAAGGGATCTGGATCGTAAGTGAAAAGAGGAGGGAGAAACCAATCCATGGTTGGTGGAGTGGGTAAAGATATAGGAGGGAGTTGAAATGGATCTCTCAGTGAAGTAGGTGAGCGTGGAGTGTTTGGAGGGGATGACCTATAAATAAAAATGGGAAAGAGTTGGTTTAACCGCTTTATTAAATAAGATAGCCCTTTGCTTTTGACCTGGGTTCCTATTTGATTCAAGTTTTTCCTTCCACAGTGAAGGTGCTTCACCTGCACCGTTTGTGTTCCTGTAGAGAAATAACCATCCATGGGGAAGCAATGAGGAGCATTCAGGATATGGAATGTCAGATTGTAGATACTCGAGGTTACCTAGAAAAGGCACCATTTTGCAATTAGCGTAGCATCTTTTTTGTTTTTATTTTTTTTATGAAGAATAGCGTAGCATCTAGCATTGACTTGAGAAGGCATAATTAATAATTGGTTCATCTTGCCGAAATAGTTGATGAAGGTGTAAATGTGAGTTTGGTTCAGACCAAAATCACCCACAAGTGACACTTTTAAACGCAGTTTGGAAAGTACTATGTTTATTTTGTAAATTTTTATAGATAATTTATATTTTTTTCCGTAGAATACTTTTAAGAGTATTAAAATTACATATCTCCATTGAATGATATGACCCATTTTTTCATGCATTTAGGAGAGTAAAATTTTTGGGGGTGGGGGGGAATTAAGTATCCAATTGTTTCTCTCGTCGTAGCTGTGCATTTGATAAAAGTGGTTTATATTAAATGTAAAGCGTATAAATATATGAATGGACGAAGTTTTGTTGCTAAACAAATGTTTGTGAATGCAAATATTGATAATAAATATGTAAATCCAATTGATTAATAATAAATACACGTCAAAATTTTATAAAGAATATATCTTGTTTTTCTGATTAAGATGAATGACTAGAATAAAGTAATTAATAAAAGTTATATTATTGTTCTCAAGTTTTTTTTAAAATCAAATAAAATGATGAGATTTTTTTATGAGACCCTTCATATTTACAGTGAGCTAAAATTCATTCCCCCCCCCCTTCTGAAATGGGAAATATCGATAAGAAATGAAACGATATCACAATCACAATTACAATGTTTTTTCACAAGGATTTTTTTATCACGTTTTGATTTTAAAAGTAATATGTCAATGTAATTTATAAGTTAGAGTAAATTAATACTTTAGCTTCTCTCTATTTTATCATAATTACAGACTTTTTTTTATTTTGAAACATATACGAAATCTTTCTTAAAATGGATAGCTATAAAATACAAAGACTCCCTCTATTTAAAGATTTATTTTCATCCACCCAACTTAATTGACTGATAAATTACACTTGTTAGATTAAAATACTTCATTTTAAATACAAATATTGTATAAAAATAATTGAAATTGCTCAAAAATAATGCATATATTTTTTAATTTTTTTCATTTTGTAAACATGTTTATATAGTATTCTTAAAAAAATATTAAATACATAAATTGATTAAAACTTAAAATAATATATCAATCATGCAATAAAAAATCTTAATGAAATTAGAATTTCCAGGCCAAAAATAAAAGAAGTATCCAATATAATAAATTACTTGATATAATAAATATTTATTTTTTAATTTCATTAATTCTAACAAAAAATTAAATTTTATTTTTAAATATCCACTTACTTAATTATTTAAATTTTTTAAATTGGAAGAGAACAGAAAATTAAATTACAAAGGAAAATTAATAATTTTAAAATTTTTAACATAATTACAAACAAAAAATTAAGTATTTTAATATTTTTAACAAAATATTCCTAACAGTATTAAAAATTAAATTAAAATAGAGGTTTTCAAAACAAATGAGAGGTCATAATATTTTACTCTATAAATTATTATATTCTCTCAATAATTAATGATAATATTCTCTATTCTTTTATTGAACGTGCAAACTGTAAAATGACACGACATGTATCATTCCATTTCCGTTTTTGAAGTTACTATTTCATTTAATTTCCTTGGAGACTCCCATGCTAAAATTAATACTCACACATGTCATAATAACGAGCACAAGACTGGTGGAATGTGGATCATGGATGCTGGGAGGCGAAGATGAATAAATAATAATACCTTCCCCAGGAGGGCAGACGACATCTTTTGATTCTAAGTAGGAATTTTCAATAAATAAAAAATGATTTGGTTAGTAAGAATTTGGTCAATCACTCATAAGCTTGCGAAATCAAATCACCTACCGATGTAAAAATCTTGTCAACGAACGATATATAAATATTTTTGTAAATATTTTTTGAATTTAAAAACATTTCCTGACTTTAGTAAATTCCTGTAACTTGTCTAAACTTTGTTTTTAACCAAAGGAAAAAAGTAGGGATTTTCAAATGAATGAATAGCAAATATCAATTTAGATAATCAAAAGTAAAAATATAATTTTAAATTCTAACACTTTGCTCAAATTTTGCTATAAAATTTTTACATCTTTTTTATGTATTCTAAGTCCCTGTAATACTGCTGATGGAGGGACCTTGTTTAAAATTACAAAATGACAAAATCACCCCTTGTTTAAAGTAAAAAAATGTGGGTTCACATGAAAAGTTATAATTTTTTGTTCAATTCTTACTATTTACAAAATAAAAGTTGTAATTGCTTAGACAAAAATTATAATTGATTATTTTTAAAACTTAAATTTTTATGATAAAAGAAATTTTACGTGAGAAATTATGATTTCTTATTTAATTCTCACTATTTATAAAATAAAAATTATGATTAATTATTTTTAAAACTTAAATTTTAATAATAAAAGAAATTTTAAGTGAGAAGTTACGAATTTTTATTTAATTTTTGTAATTCATAAAAAAATTATAATTATTTAAACAAAAACTATAATTAAAAAATAGAGCAGACTTGTCATTTTTATTTTAAATAAGAGACAATTTAATTATTTAATATAAAATAATTAATATCAAAAAGATATGAGGCTTTAAAAAATTATAATATTTTAAAATATTTAATTATCATTTATATATTTTTACTTTATCCGAGGATTTCAATTTTATCCACCTCATGATTCCTCCTGCACAGGTTGGACTAAAGGACAATTGAAAGCAAAATAAAATATTATTTTATTGAGCTTTCGTTCAATATTTTCCCCTTTCAACTTTAACTTGAATCAATTTAACGAAGCAAAATGCATCTATTTGATCCCTCGGAAGTCCAGACTGCAAAGTAAATTCTCACAGAATGCTTGGCTGCAACAGTTCGAGCAAATACCCAACGTTACCACACTGCTATATTCTAGAGTTTAAAGTCATGTTTGGTTTTTATTTTTAAAAACAAAAAAAATAAAAAAATTATTTATATAAATGTTTTGAATTTAATTATTTTCATTTTTTGTTTTTATGAAAAAATAAAAATATTTTTAAAGTTATTTTTTATTTTATTTTTCTTATTTTTAAAACACATTATATTTGATTATTAAAAAATATAGTTAGCTTGATCAATTTTTATTATAAACCATTACCATTAATCGCTTGCAACAATCACTATTAGCTTATTTTTAAATTTTAAAAATATTTTTATATTAACATTGCTAAACAAATTTTAATATTTTTTTAGTTTAAAAATCAATTCTAAAAAATGTATTTTAGAACAGTTTTTAAAAATAAAAAATAAAAATAGAAATCAAGTATGCCCTAATATTTTGGTTACAGGGTTTCATCATTATAAATATTTAGTGCATGTTTGGTTCTTATTTAACATCAATTCTGAGATCAAAATCATTGTTTCGTAAAAACTTATTCAAACACTCTCAATTTTGCAAAACTCCATTTGACTTGTGAAATTTTATTTTTGAAAAAGGTATTTTTTTTCTCCACTTTAGAATCAGTTCTTGATATTTGACCATTTTTTATTTTTCACCATCTTCAAGATTGATTTTGAAAAATTATCTAAACATTTTCAATTATTAAAACCAATTTTAAAAAATATTATTCAAACATCATCACGGTTTGTTAATCAATTTTTTATAATCAATTTTTGCTAATTAAAATCCTAACACACCCTTGATTACCTAAACTCAAACCCACAATGAAAATTCTGGCATCAACTTGGTAGCTCACAATCGGTCAGTTACTTATCGATGCTTTTAAAAACCATGGCGCAAAATTAGAATAAAGGGAATACTGAAAATTAAGTAATTGACTAACTTAATGATTGAAAGTCTACTTATTCTAGAACACCCTAAGTTTTTTAGGCCAATTAGAACGTGAGACATATATCCTCACTTATGAAAATGAGATACTAAGTTGAGACGGAAACTTCAAATTGTAGAGAGGCAACATTTAAGGAAAAGAATGGCTGCTCACTTGAGTAAAAGTAAAGCAGCATAACGAGGCAACATTTCATCAGTACAGATAGACTGGGGCATGATCTGACAGGATTGGAGAATGAGATCGACAAAGAACCCTCAATTATCTATCTATGTTCTGGTTGACATTGAGTGCAATGAAGATAATATACAGATTGATAACATTTTCAGGTAAGAGGGGTGCTCAACTATCAATGCCCCTGTTATTGATATCTGTCAAAGAAAAGATGTCTAAACTTCAGGGTTTCATTAATGTCTCCTTGACGTACTTAATCACCCCATCGACATCCACCGTCCAAGCAACTGAAACAGGGGAAAAACCCGTCCATGGATTGTTCGAATTCCATCTGTATGAAATGAAAACGACAATGCGTTTAACATTAATTAAATTAAACATGAAGTCACCAAAAATAAAGTGAAGCAGCATATCAATTCCACGTTTGGACTTACTTCTTTAACCCTTGGTCCATCAGCGTATGCCCGACACAGAGGCCCTGTGTCTCTACCCTCACTACCCCTCTCTTGTATGTAAAAAGATCTGGACGAACAAGAGCCACGAAACTGACGGGGTCGTGAAGGAAAATTCCTGAAAGAAGACATCATATTATTGTTCCAATGGCAACAAATAAAGTGAACAGCATGAATTTAGACGTCAAAATAGCATGTAAAATTACCATAGACACCATCAGATTTAACGTGCCAATCCCGGTAAAACTTGCACATCTTACATATGAGTTGTCCGTGCTTCCCTCTGGAATTCCTCAATTGAAAGATGTCAGCATCTGAAATCGAAAGACAATATTCAGCATCTGACAATTACAATATACCCAATCGCACAATAACAGTAGCCTAGAAATTAGAGAAAACAAGAAATTGCAATCCCACCTGTAAATATCACTTGGGTTGTAATATTTATTCCAACAACAACTATATTTGCTCCAGAAGTGAACACAATGTCTGCTGCTTCTGGGTCCCCATAGATCTGCAAATTAAAAAGAAATGAAGTCCATAGAACGAACTGAATATTAAACCTGATCATGAAGCATAGTGCAACTTATGATCCATTTATTTCAATGATTACAAATTTCGTAGAAAATATTTTCTCTGTAGTCTAGAGTCTGTTGTGAATTGAATGTCGTGAAGTATATTCTTGATTATGAAAAGAATATGGCAAAGTGACTTTCTCTTCAAAAGTGCATGTTGTTTTCGATTTTGACCAGCGCAACTTTAAAATATAAAATTCGTTCACACCGCATGGAATATCCTCAAGCCCATTAGTCCTTTGCATGAAACCACCACTTACATTTGCTTCTGCAGCTGGATTTACATTCCCCAAGGCAAAGAAAGCGCCACCAAGTATAACCACTCTCTTCACCTTTCTAGCAAAAGAAGAATCTCTTCTTATGGCCTAATCATGAAGGTTAAACAATCAGAACATTTATGTACACAAATACAAATAAAAAAAGTGTTATGATAACATGTCCACTAATAACAAGAAAGCAAGGTACAACTTACCAAAGCTAAATTTGTCAGCGGTCCAAGTGCTAACACAGATACTTCACCAGGGTATTCAGAAACCTTCTCCACCAAAAACTCCGAAGCAGTTTTATCTAACTTTTTAGCTTTCGGCGGGGGCAGGGATATGTTTCCAAGTCCATCAGAACCATGAACAAAGTCAGCAACTCGTGGAATTCCACCCTTTCAAAGGATAAAACATACTTCAGCCTTGAAAGATGAAGTAAAAACAAAAGAAAAATAACATAAAACCAATATTGAAAACATGCAGAGCCTTGTGCAGTGCCACGTAGACAAAAGATGAGGCTGGGCAAGCAATGTAAGGTAAACATTGAAATATAACCTAACTGAGTTGAAACACTCAAGCCAACTTCAGAGGTACTTATTAAATAGCTACCTTCAAGGGCTCAGGGTTGCCCTCTGCCACAGGAACATTTTGACAGCCTGCAATCTCACACTATCCTTTTGCACAGCAAAAAGACAAACTGATCATGAACATGTTCTAAAAGCATGAAAGCCGCGGAGTATTTAGTAAAATAAAGTACAACGGAAGTTGATGAGAATTTTAAAAATGCATACCAAAAGCAATGAATTGCGAGTGGCATCTTCTGTAGAAACATTACCAAATGTGGTTGTCAAGCCCAGGACCTCCACCTCAAGCGTTTGAAATGCCATCAAGATGGTCATGCTATCATCTATGGATTTACCGGGGAAAAACATTGACTCGTGAAAATGGCAATCACAGTAAACCAAAACACAAAAATTCATTAAAAAGAATAAAAAAAAACCACAACTATTATTCAACCACTTGAGTATGTGACAAAGTAATTCCATGGATTGAATATCTCTTGCGAGTATGACAAATTAGCTGGAACTTAGATATTGCACAACAAGAGCATTTGGACTTTTTTGAATGAAAACTGAAATCATATATTACAAATCATAAACTCATACAGAACAAAGAGATTACAGCCAAAGATCATTTGCATATTTAGGAACCAAAAAATACAAGTTCAGGTCAAGTCGGGTATGCCTAAATTTGATGAAAAAAATAGTAAATTTCTGAAGAAAGGACAATAACCAACAATTATAATTGACTAGCATTGTTTCCTCTGATTGAAAATGTGATTTTTTTTTTTACTGTAACAATCTCAATAATCCCAGGTACAAGCACAATTGCCATCAAATATATATATATATATATATATTAAACAAAAAGTGAATAACTAGATTATTATTTTATATGCTCACATAGGAAACTTCAAACTATCCGATTAAATGCCTTTTCAATCTAGTTTTGTTGGTTTTACATTTAAAGAAAATTAAAATAGAAGCATTTTGCTTTCCCTGTATTATGATCTACAGAAGTTAGGGACTTAGGGTGCTGGATGATTGAATTTAAAAATAAATGAATAAATAAATGCAAGAAAGTACGGCATTATATAAAATTGAAGACAAAAAATATGATTGGCTTTTTTAGTCAAACATTTGATGTGAAGGAACATGATTAAGATATGTGAGTGTGTCTGCGCGCGCGAGACTTTCCGATATAAAACAGTTCAAAACTTGCAATGAATGTCTCTGTTCAATGACAGATGGAAAATATTGAATTTTAAAGTTGAAACTTAAACCAGCCATCAGATTATCAGGCGAATTACTCGCCAGTCGGAAAATTATACAAACTAACAGGATTCAGACCAGCCGGAAAATAATCCAAAAATAGAAGGCATGCCCCAACCATCAGATCGTCAGGCGAACTACTTATTCTTTTTAAATTTATTTGTAGAACCCAAAAAAGGCAGATAAGCGAGGCCTAAATGTCTAAACTTACCGATCCCAGGGTCAGTATCGATAATGAGCTTCTCAGGATTGGCGCGGGAGCCTGAAACCCCGTTGGAATTAGCGCCCGTGAGCCCACTCGCCATGACCGGTTGGAACTGGAGATTGGGATTCAGAGATGGCGAAACAGCAAGGAAGAAAACTTGAACTGCAATTCCTTGAAATGTATGAATGTATGTGTGTATGAAGCAGGCCTCCGTTATATAGAGAGAAGTACAAGGACGCAGCCCACACACGCATACATGGAAAGAATAGTTCGAAGGAATATGCAGAGATTGGAGCGAAGCCGAAGACGACGCAGCAATGAGCTTCCGACACCGCCCCTAAAATAAAAGGCGATGAAGTGGTTTGGTGCTGGAGGCTGGAGCAATCAATGTATGACACGTGTCGTGCTGCCATTGGGCCGCTTGGATCGCTTGTTGAGGGTCGAGTCGCGCCCGGAGAAAGGAGGAAATGCGTGTTGCGCACTTCTTAGTTGCAAATTACATTTTTTGTTCAAAAAAAAAAATACAATTATTCATTCATGAATCAAGTCAAGTAAGATCATATTAAAGGCAAAAATTTTAACAAGTATTTAGTAAAGCTACATCCTTAGAACTCCAATGCAAAAACACTGATTAAATAAGGACAACTTCTTATTAATTTAGTTACGTGCCTTTTCCTTTTATTAATAAACTAGTTAAAAGGTTAGTAATTAAAATTATCGTTAAAATATGTTAAAATGATATGAATGAAATATTTTATTGAGTCGATTAATATGCTGATTTAAACGTTTACCAATGTAACCAGCCAAGTTTCAACACTATGCGTTTCCTTTTTCCATTGATTTTTTGGCCCATCCTCTCGTTCTTTCGCGCACCGGGAAGCAAACGTTGATTTTAGAAGCTTTTATCCTTTTGAGAACACTTTTACTTCCTCGTGTGTTTGAATTTTAAATGTAAAAAATTAATTATGAGAAAAATTGATCAAGGGAACACGGTGATGTTTAGATAAGATTTTCCAAAATTGATTTTGCAAAATCAATTTACCAAATGGAAGAAAAATTTACTTCTGCAAAATGGAATTTCAGTTACCAAATAGAATTTTAGAAAATTAGAGGATTTGGTTAACTTTTATTAAATGGAGTTTAGCGAACCAAATGAAGTTTGATAAAATTAGACATGTTTGAATGACATTTTTTAAAACTGTAATTTTGGACTTTATAATTGATCTTAGATAGTATCCAAACAAGCCCTTTATCTTCTGTTTTCAACTCACTGTGCTTTTACTCTCTTTACGATTCTGTTGTTTTTCAGCACAACCAAAAAAAAAAAATCAATCACAACTCTTTTAATGAATCTCTTGTATTTCTTTGATGTCTTGCCATAGAGATTTTTATTCTTTCCATATCAAATATATCTTCGTTTGTTTTTTCCCTACTCAGTTTCTCATAAATGCAAAAAAAAAAAATAAACGAATCACATTGTTATGTTTTCATAAATATTATAACTTATATATTGCATCTAGATATTAAGATGAGGTTCAATTTTTGGCAATCATGCAATCAAATATGGGGCAGTTCTGAATATGTTCAAATAGCTTGTTGAAATGAAATTTGAAAATTAAAAAAAAAAAACGGAGAGAGCAATGGAAATGGAGTAAGTATGGAAGGGACAAAATGAATACATAGGCGGCGTGGTCACGAACAAGAAGGCTACGGAATCAACAATAACATTGTGAGATAAGAATTCCACCTAACGTACGTGGAACCACGTTGTGCAAGGCTCTAATTTGGTGTATTTTATTTTATTTACTAAAAAAATTGGTAGGAAGAGGACACATTAAGACACCTCAATCTTATCAGAATATTGGGGCAGGATCACAAATATTCTTCTTTCTTTTATTCCATTATCTTGAAAGATTTAAAATATCATCACCGTTGTTTAAACTGATCTAAAACTTTATTGTGTGGAACAGTTATTATCAACAGCCATTTGGGAAGCCACTTAATTGTGAGGATAGGCAAATGTATCTCCTCATTTTGAAAAAAAGTTACGAGTAGACTATATAAATTTTTTAACGCTGCACCGCCTGCTCTTAATATTTTACGCCTTTTGAATTAAATAAAAATATTTAACTCAAAAATTTATTAAATGTATAATATTTTAATGATCAATATAAAATATGAAAAAAATATTTACATAAAAATTATATTAATATGTTTAATATAATTTTCTAAAGTAAAAAATGATGATTAATTTACTTGTATTATTACAATTTTAATCTTAATATGATTATTGTTTTTAATTATTTAAATTATTATTTTTTTAAAATATTAATTTTTAAATTGAGCAGGGGTGGCCCACGTCTGTGCTGAGGGGGCCCTGGCCCACATACCATTTTTTAGTTTTTAGTGGATTGTTTAAAAAACATTTTTCTTAAATAAATTATTATTAAAAAAGTGAGTAAGTATTTAAATAAATATACTTTTATTATTTACTTGTAAATAGTATTGGTTAATGTTAGTTTTAATAGGTCAAGTGTATAATTTTTAGAGTTTATATCATATGTATATAAAATATTTGACTTAACTTTAAATATTTTTAATTTATTAAAATATTAAATAATTTCAAATGATTCTTATGATACTTTTCATATAATATAGGTATTTAAAATTTTATTTAATTTAGAATAAAATATTATTCTAAATGTTAAAACATACAAGGTTATATCAATAGTATAGTAAAAAATTTTATTTAAATTTGGCCCCCCTGCAATTTTTATCTTGGTTCCGCCCTTGGCATTTGGGCCTCCATCATTGTCTATGACAACCTCATAAATATTTTAAAAATATTTTTAATATATTTATTTAATATAATTATATATTTTATGACTCGAACTTAAAATTGAAGATGAATTAATTGAACTTTTTAATTAGTTAAACCAGATACCTTGTGCGGAGATCACAAATATTCGCTAAGGCCGTAAGGCACAGTTTTTAACCAGAACGACCATCCATTTCATCCACCAATGTAATGGTTGCTGTTCAGCTGAAGCTTGCAAGCACCGGAATTATTATTATTATTATTGGAGAACCGATCTAAAGTCGACAACATCACCTTGTGTAAACTGTAAACCAAATCTGTCTGGATCGATTTGTTTCTTATTCCATGCTAAAGTTTAGATTTTGTCCAAAAAAATAAACAATTTCAAAGCATAATATTAAAAAAACTCATTTATTTAGATTGATAAATTGTTGAATCAATATATTAATTAATTTAATAAAATATTTTATTAAATAGTATTGCTTTATCATTAATTTTTAAACTGGTCTCTGGTAAAAAAAAAATTGATCTAATTTTTTTAATCTTATTTTTAAGCCAAGGGTGTTGCAGCAGCTAATTTGACGTTTGAACCGACCTCTTCAAGTCTTCACATCAATCACGTCGTTTCGACAAGACAACCTTTTATAGCCAGGGACGAAAATTCAAGCCTACCCACCTGGAGGACCTACGTTTAAATTCTCGTCTTTCATTTAAATGGCTTTAATCTCCAACGTTGATCTCTTAAAACAATTTGCTTCTCGCATTGCCGAAAATTATCTGAAGTTGTGATAAAAAAAATCAAATTTATTTGCTCACGAATATGACATATACAACCTTACCTATATTTATAGCCGGTTCAACACTTAAATAAAAAAAGAAAGTTGTATTAAATTCTCAATAATTAATATAAATTTTTGTCAAAGTTCACATGAATGTGAACAATAGACACATTTGTGTCAATGCTTGAGTGTTGCCTGTAAATAATGCATTGCATGGCTTAAATACGGTAATAAGTGAATTAAAGTTGCTATATTAGCACCCCAATATAATATCAAATTAGCAAGAGGCATTGCATTATTTTAATGAACAATATCAAATTTGCTATTTAAAATGTTAAAACCTTAAATTGTAAATTTATAGAAGTAGTTGGAGTTATGATTTATAAAAAAAATATATCATGCTTGTAAGAAACGAAATGGCTCAATAAACAAGTTAAGTGTATTCAAGGTTTCAAGCTTTGTTATATAAGAATAAGTATAAAAATGGGATGGATATTATTGTTAATAAGGTGTCAACAAAAATATACTAGAAGTTAACAGAATTAGGAATGGAATTATTTTCTTAAAAATAATCGTTGGATGTGAGCCTATTAATATTATTAACACTTATGCACATCAAGTCATAATAGAAGCCAATTATAAATAATTGTTTTTGGAAGACTTGGAGGGATTGATTCAACGTATACTATAAAATAAAAATAAAAAATCTTTAGTACATAAGACTTTAGTGGTCATGTTAGGAATAAAGCAAAATATTTACATTGTAATTTTGATAAAAAAATCGGTCAGTTATAATTTAAAAGTTAGATTAAGAGACGAGATTACATTTCAAGCAAAAAAATTTATATATTTGAGAGTTATTATTTAATATGGTAGGGAATTGATTGGGATGCACATATGATACAAATTTGATGGTTTAATTGGAAAAAAAAGCTGAAAAAGTTATCTGCAATTAAAAGACACTATCTAATAAACTTAAAATGAAATTTTATCAAACTGCTATAAGATTATTATATGATAGTAAATGTTAGACTTTAACAGAACAGCAAAGACTTAAAGTTAGAATAGCAAAAATGAGAATGTTGAGATGGATATATGAATATGCATGTAAGGATAAAATTCAAAATTAACATATAAGAGAAAAAATAGGCATGGCATCCATTGAAAAAAATGATAAAAAATTGCTTAAGATGATTTGAACGTGTACAGAGAAGATCGCGAGAGGTATCGGCGAGGAGAGTGAAACAAATAATTTTGAGTTCTATTAAGGGATAAAGGAAGATAAAAGAGAACATTTATAAAAATTATTGACTGAGATCTCTTAATCAACAACATTCATAAAAATTCAATAAATGATATAGCACAATAATGTTATACAATTTATATAACTAATTTTATCTAGTAGGATAAGGTTTGTTGTTGTTATCATTATAAGAATTTGAAGTATGCATCCTTTTTGTTTCTAAAGTTGATCAAGCAAAATACACAAACTGTTAAAGAACATGATTCTTTTTTAAAAAATTATAGCATAAAAATATCACTCCATTTATTAGCATTATATTAATAGATTAATAACAAGTCTTTAGAAACATTAATAAATAATACAAATACATCTTGTATATAGCAATAAATAATAATATAATCATTCATTTTTTATTTTGGCTAAACCCGATCATTCATTCATATCACATGAGTACTCCTTCTCACCTTATTTATAAGGTAGAAAGAA